TTTTTTAAAAAAAAAAAAAAAAAAAAAAAACAGGTAACACTGTAATCTACTGTCAGGAGAGTATATTCATTCGTATTTACCGCGTATACGATAGTCTATCCATATGACAGTCATGTGATGGGGGTTGGGATACATGATAACTCGGTGTATCACATGTTGTCCCATGTCGCATTACTTTTTTTACAGCTCCGGCAGACCTTCGTTACTCTCACGTGTCAGCGGGTCTATAACGAGGAGCGATATCAGATTTCTTTAAATGAGATTCAGCGAGCTAAGGGTACCCGTGCATCAGGTTCCTTTCGCTCGTTCCACCGAACGAGCCGACAGGCAGCGACGAAGTGCCGCGCAAGAGTCATCTCTTTGTAGAGCTTAACTATTTCAGAAGAAGAAGAGGAAGTCCTTCCGGCCTTAGGTAGGCCCGTCAGAGTCGGGAGAAGCCTCGCAAACAAAGAGCCTAAAATGTCAAGATGGGTTTGTGTACACTTGGCGTTTAACGACATTTGGCCTCGGGCAGAACGAGCTCTTTTGCACGTATTACCCGAGACCTGGCTGGAACTAGCCGATCGAAATTTTCAAAGAGGATATATGCTAGGAAACTTTTTTCTTTTAATTTTTCACACACCTGGATAGGAAAACGTGATAGGAACTTCAGGGGTACGAAGTTTGGGGATTGAATCGATGCATCTATATATGAATTCAGCCATCCGTACGTTGGATGCATAATAAAGGTGAATTTTGGGCAAAGGAAGATTTCGTGATATAATTTTCATTCTATAAACGAATGGAAGACCTATGGGGGTTGAATTTGGGTTTGGGGCGGGGTCGAAGGGTAGCGATTACACTAAAAAGCGATTACCCTCTTTAATGTAGCGCATCCAGTACGGCTTTGACCTTTGCCCTTCCGAGCAACCCCCTCTCCCACTACCACTTTTCTTTCATTCCAACATTACCCTTTCTCCTCTTATTCTACCATTGTCTCTATACCACCCTTAGCTCTCTCTCTCTCTCTCTCTCTCTCTCTCTCTCGCTCCATTCTCTTCGGTCTTCACCGACGCTCTTCCCTTTTAACTACGCAGCCTCTTCTCGACAGCCGGTAAAATCTCATTTCCTCTCCCATCACGCGACTCCCAGGCATTCACGTTTCCTACGCACTTTACGACGTAAGCACCGAATAAAGCCTGACGCACAATGCCAATGACTGGGTCGGCTATCAATATGCGAACGAGACGAAGAGTCTTGGCGAGCAGCCATTCGCTCAGGGAAAATCCTAAAAGCATCAGGGGTACCAACCTACCTATACTTGCCTAGCATCTTCACCAGCCTGCCTCCAGGGGAGACGTTGAATCTCGAACCCAGCCCCCTTTTCAACCAACATCCATGCACCTGCTTAATGTTCACCCCCCCCCTGCCATCTCCTAAATCACCATACTCTTTTGTTTGGGAGTTACCGAAATTTCGACAATGGCCTTATACAAGTAATTCGATACAAGGAGTTTCTGGCTTTCCATTGGTGCCACTACGAAGGAGCAACGTACCGTACACGGGAGCGAACAGGCAATTAACGTAACGCTAGAATCAGGCACATAAAGGGGTATGCTCGGGAGGTGAAAAAAATTCCCTTTTCTTTTTTCTTCTCGCACTCTGCAAGAATTTCTCATTCGCTCCAATTAAATCGCAAGGACAGTGCAATTTCGATCGTCCGGAGATGCCAGGTATACTGTAATTAAATCCTCAGATTCGGGCTGTAATTAAAGTTTTCCCCTCTCCGATGATACCCGCCGAAAATTTATTCTACACGAACGTCGCCGGTAAGCTTGGACAAATAGTTGTATTCTCTTCTCGCTTGAACTTCTTCATCCTTTATCTCACTTTCTCTCTCTCTCTCTCTCGCTCGTTAGCCTCTTTCATCCCACCGTTCTTGTCCCTTTCAGCCGGTATCTTCGTTTGCATCATATTTCCTACTGCATAAATTATGCATCGCACTGTCTCGTAAATCGGGAAAAGGAGCTACCGCAAATTTGTTCAACTCGAGGTAATCCCAGAATCTCGGCTGTCGTGAAAATATTAGTTAAGGTTGGGTAAATGGGAAAACTCATATATCCCACAGAGGACGTATACAACCCGAGCCAGAGCAACCCTGTACATATACAGGCGTCCTTGTACACATCCCTATCTATCTTCGGCGTATAAGATAGCGAGAGTACAGTTAATTTTCCCGACGGCACCGGGTATCCCGTTATCTCCCACGGGATGAAATTTCGCGCCAGGAACTAAACGATAATTAATAATTGGGAAGGAACCTTTATACGTCCAAAACAACCTGGAATTACCTCAGGAAGTAGCCACTCGCTCACCGTCGCTCTGATTACGAACGATCGTTATCTACTTGCTCCCTTCCGGCTGCCTCGCTGCTCCGGTACGTCCCGATATGGCCCAAGACCGTATGGGACTTCGAGTACGTGTTTCTCCTCTCCTATTACTGCCTGGTCACGTAACAGATGAGTTTATTGATTTTGTTCGAACAATCCCGCTGGACCCTCATCGAGCATTGACCAATCTCCGAGGAGACCCAAAAGTTCCAGGACCACGTGACCCTTCGAAGACTTTGGCTCCATTGGGATTCGTGAAAGTCCTGACGAATCTTTTTATCCCCCATTTGAGGCTATTCGCCTTAAACGATCGTCTGTGTTTACCTGATTTTCCGAAAAAAACGTATCTCCTCGATACTTCATCGGGAGATCTAGGAATACAGATGACCTCGTCCGGTCGTAAAGGTCCACGTCGACGTAGACGTCGAACAGGGGTGCCCCGTTCAACCTCAACAGTTCTGAGACCAATGGGGTGATGTCCACTGGCGCCAGACTCTTTGGTGGTAGATAACCCCCCAGCTCATCGAGGAGTCGATACACTGAAAATAGAAACAGCGTAACTGCGGCTTCGTCGAAACAACGTAAATCATTAGTACGAAGTGTCGCGATACACTGCAGTGGCTGCAGAGAAGGAGGAACGAGTTGGGTATCGATCTGGTAACCTGGAAAAATATAAATTTATAGTGACGCCATTTCCGAAATAGATAACACGTGATACGTCAAGGAGACGTCGGAAGCCGCGCAGAAATAGAGTGGCCGCTAAGTAACGTAAGGGAGGATAAAAAATTAATTTTCATAAGAATACTATAAAAAATATTTTTACCAAACATCCCCATAAGGGTTTTAATCGATTCTTACCCAATATTAACATAAATCTCACCCGCAAGTCAACCCAGAATTGATATTCGCGAACGTCTCGAAAAGGTAGACAAGGGACAGTCGCGTTAATTAATCATGGAAAATTAGTTGGAGAAAACGTCCGAGCGCTAGCCTGGGCTTACACCCATCTAAATCATACCCTCCAAACTTCACCTCGATATACGATTTTAGACCCCGTTTCGTGTCCTCCGTTCCGAAGTAGACCTACGTAATCTTACTGACCATGTAACGTATAACACAGACCGAGACCAAATTACGTTCAATGGATTTCCCATTTTCTCCACGACCCTTGCGTGACTTCAAGTGGTGCGATTCGGAAGCGTCAATCGAAACCGCGATTAGATATAATCATGCGGGTCCAACCCTTTCATATAACAAGAATGGGTTTGATGCAAACCCACAACACCGGCTGTCGGGACCCACAACAACGACGCCACCGGAATAAGATTCGATCGTTATTCTGAATTCTAGCCTTCTTCCGTCGGCTCGTTTGTAGATCCCATTTACCGAGGCCAAGCTATACCCCCTTTCTGTTCCTCCTATGTAGAGACTGAGAAATTGCTAATTGCTCTCCTGAACTCTCGAAGCCATTTCAGGAAGCATCCCGCCTTTACACGGACACTCGAGATACGCCGAGATATCACATCTAACATATGCACAGTGATAAATTCATATAAGGACGCTACCTATGGTAATATCAGCAAAGCTTAAAGCTGCCACCGTATAAAAGTCGTACGGATCCGAAATCGAGTAATCGGAAATATTTAACTTGATAACATAACCTCGAATCTCCTAAGCAGACAGATGCGCACCTATCGAGGAAAGATCGCTTTGGATCGTATTGTCAAATTGCATTGGGCATTCGAAAATTTCAACGGATACGTTAATAGCTGTCGAAGCGTATAAACAAGACGGAGTCGGTGGTATCGAAAGCGCAGAGTTAACTCGGGGCGATACAAATCGCGTAAGCTCGGACTTAAGAAAACGGAAGTTCCATTTCCGTATGGGACCGGGAGTGTTCCACCGTATATACATATATACAGACGCGAGTAGCGTTAAATCTAAATTCGTTCGATATCGAATAACTCGAGTCTAACGAACCCAACCTAACCTCCCGAAGATCCGATCGGATGACTTGCTCTCTCGGCGAGCAGAGACTGTTTCAAAGCTCACGGATTAAAGCTCACGGACTTGGCCTCGTGCTTACGTCCCAAATGCCTCTCATCGATTTTCTAATGATCGCAACGCTCCTACCGCCACTCGGCTCTTATATATACCGAGGAAAATCGTTGTATCCTGAAAGCTCCCTGATAATGGCGCTGGTCTATCCGTAGAGCTTTCCTTTATATCAAAGCTCGACCTTGCCGCTAACGCACAAGTAATTCCCTGGTTTCTCAAACGTAAAACAAAAAAAAAGTACACGACCCTGAGGCGGATTCGTGAAGTCGGTCGCGACTCTGAGTTTTCGTGTAGGATTGTGGATTATAGAAATATTGTAAAATCTAGATAAAAAAGGGCAAGAGAGAGAGAGAGAGAGAAAATGCCATACGGAAATTCTGACGGCTCTCACGTGCATCATCAGATTCGAGCTTAAATCGGCATTGAAAAGGGGGTCAGCTAAGATATCCCTGCCCAGCCAGTCATTATCTAACGATCGGAAGGAACGCGCGAAGGTCTACGAGCACGAAAGCGTCGACCTTCAAAAAGTAACCGCTTCCGCCCCCCTCGCCTCCCACCCGCCAAGTGTAAAATTCAGAATTACAATTCGTCAAGGAGTTGTATACCTCGTTAAAACTGGGTCAGATCAGTATAAGTCGATGCACGCGACTTGGCGATTATCAAACTGCAAAGAAAGCACGAATGGAAAGAGTCTCGTGTATATATCTTTAAAAATACAAGCAACGATTTCACTTCCCCTGACAGACCGGAAGCGAGGTCGGATGCTTGATTTATCGCCGTGCTCGGCCGACAAATCGACGACTGCCTCCCGCGCATCGGAAGCCACTAAAAGTTCCCAGGAAACGTATAATCTAGGAATCAATGCTGTAAATATTATGTCACACGTACTATAGCTCGTCGGAATCGATTACGATGTAGGGATAATAACTTGCCATTAGCGGTTGCCATAACCTGTAATATCGTCATAGTTATCGACGGAACCGAAGCCAATCAGCCGGTTCGAAACGAACTGGGTAACGATCGTATATATATCTCTATACGCAGCTTCATTCCGAACTCTCTGTGAAGGCGAACCTACCCTCGGTATTGTCCACCGGAATATCCTGCAATGTCCTGTAATTACCCCGGTGCAATTTGTACGTGTCTACTGCGACTGCTTGATCCAAGATTCTGTGTGTATTCTGGGTTGCGGGTATACGTAATCAGATCTGGTGTACAGGATGATGCCAAAGGATCAAGGAAGGGAACGGGTACCGGCTGATCCTAAGGGTGCAGGGTTAAACTGAGGAAGTGGGCAAGAAGGCGGAGAAGCATGGGAGCACTGTGAGAGAAACGTTGGTTCGAGGGTTGGGTTGTTATCTGGTTTCGCAGCTAACTTTAGCAGCGGGGTTAATACGCCGGTCGACGGTCCGGCCAGGAATAGTTCGTTGTAAATTGCTAGGAAAAAAGTCGGCGACCTCGTTCGAATGGTCTGGATGTCACGGAATGCAAATCTCCTTGGCAAAAAGTCTACGGACTATATCTATATAGATTTTACTACTCTTACGTAGCAATGCATGGGTTCGCTTGTTACCAGACACGGACTATGTTAGTGCTTGCTTCTTTGAGAGTGGCAACAACTTTTTTATCCATGTGTATATATATATATATATATATTGGTTCCCTTTACTATTTTGTTGGTACATTCGTTATTGCTCAATGCCCACCCACTGTTGCTCGTCGCTGCCTCAGCATTTTCAAGTGCTTTCAAAGTAAAACTCCTAGAGCGTGGCCACGCTGTGCGGTCCGAGCTTATTGATCCATGCTGCTCGATAACACGCGTTCTTGACTTTGAAGCCATTTTTTTAACTTCGCTTCATCCGCGCATCCACATATGCACTCTGGGCTCTCGCCGTAGCCGCATGTGTACTGCGGGCAATGGAATATTGAGATTTACGAGGTTCGCCCGGCGAGCGAGAAATCGTTCGCACGTGGTACGTAGATGAAGTTACGTAAGTGACGGGGTTCACGAGATAGGAAACAAAAGAAAATTTTACCTGGAAGAGCGTTGCGGCAATGTTGAATTGAAATCTGAAAAATGCAAGTCGGCTGCGCCGGTTTCCCGTATGAAAAGTACGAAACGGAACGGCGCTTGTAAGTTATGCATACGCGAAATCGATTACTCGATACGGTACAGGGTCTTGAGTTACCTGAAACGGACTGTAGTCTGGAGAAACGTTATTGCGAATTTACTTTTGAATTTTCATTGCTATCTTCGTATCGCACTCGCTCCCTCTCTCTCTCTCTCTCTCTCTCTCTCTCTCTCTCCTCTCTCTCTCCTCCGCCTCCCTTTTTACTCGAAGCTTTCATCGTATCCGCGGACTCCCTCTTTACTCCCGTCGTTCCCGTCCGTCAGATTCGCAAAGACCGGTATTTCCCGTCGTTCTACTTTCAGTTTCGCGGAAACCGCGCGAGCGTAGCCTTTTAAACGGGCGACAATGACGCGCCAATTCTTAAGGATTGTATTATTGGACGAATGTGTAGCATCCTTAATTTCCGGTACGAGCGTGTCGAGGACTCGATTAAATTATATACGTTTCAATGGAAATAAACATATATTCATCTGTCGGTATCCGCGTAACGGAAATACAAAAATTTAAAGTGAAAAAGTAATATTACTAACGGCGACTTCTTGGTCGAAGCAATAATTCATCTGGGAAAAGAAACAAGTCGAGTAATATAAAAAATAGCCTCGAGGATATCGATCCGGCACGAGGATTGACAGCGCATATATTAATCAATGAGATGAACGACACTAGGATCGATTCGTGAGTAAAGTGCGAGATACAGGGGACACTTCGATATTAAAAATCCATAAGAAGATGACCCCCTGAAAAACATCGTATTCGTTGACAGACTGTATATATTGTCGTAACGAAGTATCTATAGGCTGGGCAAAGCTTGCGCGACTGTCGAGCGGAACGGCGGGAGAATTTAAAAAAGTAATCGCACGTATTTTTCCTACTACACGAAGGAGCTGCAAGACAATGGGGTGTAGATCGCTGAGCTGGTAATCAAGAAATGGCAAGTCCAACTGCTGCTACTGTTTCTCCTAAGGCCATTTCACTTCGGTAAATTGGAATCCGAATCGTTAATGACATATAATCGAGTGTGAAATCGATGGTGATATATATATATATATATATATACGTCCCTCATGACCTCCTTGAAAAAGCTATTCTCACAGAAAACTTATAATATATTTAAATACATCACGTAGAAGGTATAATCGAGTGTGAAATCGATGGTGAGAAATGGCAAGTCCAACTGCTGCTACTGTTTCTCCTAAGGCCATTTCACTTCGGTAAATTGGAATCCGAATCGTTAATGACATATAATCGAGTGTGAAATCGATGGTGATATATATATATATATATATATACGTCCCTCATGACCTCCTTGAAAAAGCTATTCTCACAGAAAACTTATAATATATTTAAATACATCACGTAGAAGGAACGATTTGCTCCTATAGATTTTCCATCGAAGTATTATTTTTACTAATTCTAGTTAGTTCTAGGGACTTCTTTTTTTCCCTAGACAAGAAACTCGCACGAATTTGAACTCGGGTACGGTTAAGCTACATAGGCAACCGGGTCTTCCGTGCAATTCTTTCTGCCTTGGGCAAGAATATAACGTAAGGCTGGGTAGGATACGATAAGTTAAGCTAAGGTTAGGTTGGGTTACCTTAGCCAAGGTAAGACACGGCGCGCGCAAGAACGGCTCTCTTTTCTCCGAGGGCAAAGTTCGCTACTCGTAGCGAAACTTCCTATAGAACGTTAACGTTTAACGTCCCTGGAACATGCCACGTGTGCTGCCCCTACCCCTAAACCCCCTGAGCATCCCTTAACCGCCTTACCGAACCGTACCCACGTATAACTGTATATACCGCACAGCTTCCTTTCCTTTCTTCGCTCCTCTTACTCCCTATAATCTCCTCCCTCAGCGTCGACGCTCCATTCTCTTTTTCCCACTCTTTCAACCCTTTCCTGTCTGTACCTTTCTACCCCTGTTCCCAACCGCCCACGAGGTCCCCATTACCGTTCCACCTCCTTCCAAGTTTCCATTTCAGGCTCTGAACCGACGTGCCCTCTGCATCGTTAAATGCCCACCCCCAGCCACCCCAATAAAACGCGCCAGTGAAAAACCACCCCCTAACCGTCCTTGCGGTCTCCCGCCGCAAAGGGGGTTCATTTCACCAACCCTTTGCATCCTACCCATACTTGCCTACGTACGTCAGCTACCGTTACGTGTTTACGTATCTGCTTCTAATTTTCATCCCTTAACCAGCAAAGCTCACGCGTCGCTTTTCTCTAGAGCCAAACCCTCCCCCCTCGGATGGTCACGATAAAACGTGAAATAATCGTAAAAGCCAAGAATACCAATCCCGTCGATGGTCACAAGGTCCTTCAGGATTTCAGGAACGTTCAAGGAGACCAGGACGAAGGAGGGCTTGAGGGGGGGGGGGTTCTTCTGGACGGAAAGGGAAAGTGAAGGGGGTTACAGGAGGGAAGGAAGATAATGGCCAGCGGAAACGATTCTCCCTGCTACGGAAGTCCCTTAAGCGATCCGAACTGATTTGTCAGCGTCTCGATAACGTGGGGGTTTGTTTCTACGGGAGGGGGTGGCTGGCTTCTGTCGCGGTGCTACTTAGATCCGCGTATACGTACAGACTCAGGGAATTTGCCGGTATGAATAATTGATCGGGCGGCGGAAATATCTCGCAGGCAAAAAGCGAGCCGGAGCATATGCGCCAGATGCATATATGAATGAAATCCCAGCCTTACCGTTATACCACCCTTGGACGTATACATTGGCTGTAACGTATATCTGGAACCGGGATTACCGGCGTAAACATACTTTGCCATTGATATCTCGCAAAGAGACGATACGAATATGCCGGATGCAGCGGGGTATACATATTATGTGTACATTCTCACAAACGAGTATCTAAACGGCGCAGGACGCGTCTCAGTAAAAAACAGCCTCGTTAGCAGCATCGCTAAAATAATGTCGAGGCTGTGGCTGAAAATGTCAGAGCTTTTTTCTTCTCTCTCTCTCTTTTTTACGTTTTTTTTTTTTTTTGTATCTACCAGTAAACGCGCGATATTTTTTTTCAACAGCCACCGCTCGATATCTCTATCAGACCCGTTTGTTTTTATCACACGGACCATGCATATTACAGAGATTAATTTTTTATGAAAACTGTATACGATTGGCGGACTGACACTAGCTCCAGGAGGAAATATTTTTATTTTCAAGGATGATTAAAAGTAATTTTTTTTTTATGATCAATTCAGCGCGTCTCACCTGGAGTAAAGTTCACTGGTTTATCCTTGAAGTCAATGCAGGTCTCGTAGAATTGGCCCAATTTGTAAAAAGCTCCGGTCATCTTGCCAGAAGCGTTCGCCAGCATGTCTGAAAGGAATATGAAATAAGTATATATGTATATACATATATACACACGTGTATAAAGTACAGCAACGAAATCGTAGCCAAGGTATGCACTTGAATTCGATTGAGTGTCCGTAGGGTTTTGAAAAATTAAAAATTTTTTTTGCTACTTAAAAAAAAACCCACTTTTTCATAAGATTTATAATTTCGAACTGTCCGCTTAAGATTTTTCAGACACCGCTCCCAGAACTATTAGTACCGTATGTGGAACAGCGAAGTCGTAGGGCAACGTGCATACTATACTTCCATGTGCATATATCGATTAACGTGAATTATTTATAGTCCAGCTTCGACCGAACTAACCCACTACTCGATACGTGTCCATCCACCGGACCGTATGTGTATTTCCTTTCCTCTTTCGATCCTTCCACTACTCTTGCCGGCCGAAAAGTCACCTCCGTATACCCTGCCAGTTGATTACTCTAACGCACGTGTAGCGCACTGCACGTTGCTTTATGCATTTTCCTATAACGTTCATGCTGTATAGATATAGGCACAAGAGAATCTGACTTGGAGAATTATACGCTACAGGAAACTTGGCCTCGGTCAAACTTCCTGAAGACTTCAATATCCCCTATGTAAAAAGTGAATATATTGATCGAGCTGGGTAATATGGGTGAAAGGCTGCGTGAAATTTTTTCAATACGCTGACTCATTTCAGGAAATGCATTTTCAAGCTGATTAAAATTTCATGGGTCGTAACAATTTCGATTTTTCCTGCCATAACGTGTTCGGGTTAACTGATCGCCGTATCCTTTTTTTTTTTTTATACCGCTGTATTCATTCGCGCGCGTTTTCACCCGCGTGCAAAAAATAAAGCAAATTTCGACTTCGCGGCACAGAAAAAGCCTTTGCCACGATTGGCGAACAACGGAGCACGCTCGCAGCCTTCAAAGACTCCGAGCAGCGATTTCTCTACCGTAGAATCGGGCGAGGCTGGCAGGAAATTAAAGAATGGCTGAAAAGTTTTTCATGGCTAACCCCTTCTCTCCCCCCGTCGCCCCAGTGCGCCTGCCGTCCGGAACGAAAATACCCTGCGAGCTGAGACGACCAGAGTGAAAGTCTAACTTTTCGGGCCCGGAGTTCCGGGTCTTCGTTCAGTTTCGATCCAACGACACAGACCTCGTCCCAGCCACTTTTCCAGGAGCGAATAAAAAGTACCCCCCCTGCCCATCCCACTACCCCTTTATGAAAACCGAAACTGGAAGACGCGACGAATATAGCCAAAAGTTCTAGGGGGTGCGCCAAGTTTGATCCCGCCCCCTCACCTTGGGCTGATCTTTTATGCTTTCTCACCCTAACCATAAGCGACGTCCTGCGCAACCCTTAGTCAATCTCTACATCCGTATTCGACGTTCGCTTAAGCGTTCACCTCGTGGTAGGACAAATGGACGAGAATTAAAAAAGCACGTATCTGCTGAGAATTCAAAAAAAAAATTTTTTTTTGAGCCAAAGCAACAATCGTCCTTCGAACGTAACTGGACCCGTTTAATCGTCCTAATAATCTTTTCGATATGGTAAATACACGATCTCTGCGTATTACGTAACCGTGGATATAACGTGTGTCGGTAACTTTCCAAGTCCTGAGAGCATCCCGATACCGAAGAGACGTCGATGGAGTTACGACAAACGTACCATGGGGTTAGGACGTCGTCTCAGGATGTTGTTCTCCCATGCATCACGGTAATATCGACACTGACACGGGACAACGATTCGGCTTATGTATTCCACCAATCAGATATACATATGTATGTACATAGTTATAGTACGTCGAATGGCGCCGTCGGTTACTCCCCATTGGCTACCGAGCTAACCGAACAATTTTCAAACGTCACACGGCCAATTTATCACTCGAAAATATTCCGATCTTCGCACGTTAACAAATTTTACTCGATTCCTTCGGCCCACACTGCGCGTTCGCGATGAGAATTGGGACTTTTCGAGAAAAAAAAAATGTATAAGCGCACATATATCGCTTTGCGTAAATAACGAAAAATTAATTTTCCAAAAAAATTTCGAACTTTCACACAATCAAAATTTACTCACAATAAATCCCAATGACGCGTCCAAAATAATTTTAATAATCATATCGAGTGTATGCCTGTCATAGGATCAATGGAGTTGAAATATTGTAAGCTAAAAAAATGCTGTAATTACCCGATCTGAACTGAGTGCCGTGTCAAGAGTAAATGATGAATGGGACGAAAAAGATGATAGCCAAAAAGCCCATACTTTTTATTTGACGCAGTAAAAAGGAATTAAAGAAAACAAGACGGTTGGGCTTAATTGGGGTCCAACATCTAACAATGGCGTATCCTCGTTACCTTAATGAACGTGACAGTCGGCTGTTTCAGTTTTCAAATTTGATGCTATTGTTCCCTAGCAAGCTCGGTGCATTAAGTTTGGAATTACATATTATTATTATGAGCCGAGCTACAGGAGCTATGAGATTGCAGTGGGACAGCCTAACACCAGTCCGACCTTAAGTTCCTTGGTAAAGTATAAAGAGTCCAGTAGATTTTCGCGTATCACGCGCATCCGTACTTCTCTCGGTCTAAGATGAACTTGACCCATTAAAATCGACGGATTAATCAAGTTTCCATAAAACGCTTCTAACCCGTTTTCCTTCTTACGTAAATCTCCTCGTCTAAGGCTTCGCGAGTGCTCTTACCAAAGAGGACAGCCAGACACGACGATTAACCCTAGCTTAACCAGGCATGCCTGCGCATAGGTCCGAGTAACATACGTCGAAATCCAGTCGTGAAAGTCGAATTAAAAAATTGACCTGACTCGAAAATTAGCCTCTTCCGACCCCTCCAATAAAACGGGTCACCCACCAAAAGGAACCTTCAATTAGTTACTGAAGCCTCATGCATCCCCTTTCTTTCAGTCAAAACGATAAATTTAAACCCATCTCCTAACGAGATGGGAATGAGCTCATGAGGCGTGGACGAGAAAAGATGCCCCTGGTGGAACTAGGTAACGGGGGGGTGG